TGCCCATTTTTAATTCAGGCTATTTGGCTTGTTGCTTTTGAGCTTAGATATTCTGTACGTTGTTTCCTTATTGTCTATACAGTTGGCTTTGGTTCTACCAAACCAAAGTTGTTTTTTCAATCAAGTGATTGCTCCACACCTCCACGGAAGCTTTTTAGTCTGATGTAATCCCATCCATCTGTGTGATTCCTGTGATTTTAGGGTGAGAGGGTTTGTCCAAGATAACTTTCCTAGCCCCTTCTGACGTCTGGAAAGCTATCCTTTTTTTTTTTTTTCTGGTAGTTTTAGTTTCAGATCTTAGGTCATTAATTAGTATACTGTTGATTTTTGTAATTAATAAAGATGGGGGTCCAGTTTCATTCCTCTGCAAGTGGATATCTTTTTAAAAATATTTAGTTGTAAGTGGACACAATACCTTTATTTTTATGTGGTGCTGAGGATTGAACCCAGTGCCTCACTTGTGCTAGGCAAGTGCTCTACCACCGAGTCACAGCCCAGCCCCACAAGTGGATATCACCTTTTCTTTCCGGATCAGGGGTGCTTTACCACTGAGTTGCATCCCCAGTCCTTTTTTTTTTTAAGACAGGTTTTGGGGGCTGGAGTTGTGGCTCAGCAGTAGAGGGCTCACCTAGCATGTGTAAGGCCCTGAGTTTGAGCCTCAGCATCACATATAAATAAATAAAATAAAGGTCCACTGATGTCACGTTCCTCACAACCAAAACACTCAGGGTCACTCCAGGGGAACTGGGCTGCCTGAAATAACCAGAGAGACAGAGATATCTTTTACTTTGAGGTCCTGTGACAGCTACGCTGACCTTAAGGGTCCGAAGAAAGAGAGTGAACAAGTGCGTGCTGAACCCTTTTATTAAGGAGAAGCCATTCAAATGAAGCAAGGGGTCAGGTTTTGGGGGGACTGAGTCTAGCTTCGTGATGTCTGCCGTCAGCAGGTTGATTGACATCTAGGAAGGCCACACCCAAAGGCAGAGCAAGAGAAGGGGACACACAAAGGGCGTTTCCATGGAACATTCTATCCCAAACAGGGTAAAGGGGTAATATTACAAAGGAACAGGTGAGTGTAGCTCAATCCGTGGGGTGACACACCTATGTCTGAAGATGCGTCCTCAACCTTCGGGACTGGGGCAATGTCCAGGTCACAACGAGATGCAGTGACCAGTCAAAGCCTCTCCACTCAGGGAAGGAGAATGTGAATCAGAGTGGACGCCTCCCACACATTGACAATAAAAAAAAAAGGGGGGGGGTTTTGCTAAATTGCTGAGGCTGGTCTCAAACTTGCAATCCTCCTGCCTCAACTCCTGAATCACTGAGATTACAGGTGTGCAGACACCTTTAACCCTAGTGACTGGGGAGGCTGGGGCAGGAGGACCACAAATTCAATTCTCTTAGTGAGACTGTCTCAAAATGAAAAGTAAAAAGGATTGGGAAGGTAGCTCAGTGGCAAGGTGCCTCTGGATCCCATCTCCAGTACCATAAATAAATAAATGTGTCCTTTCTCAACTGTGTGTCTTTAGCAACTTCACTGAAAATCACCTGATTATAGACATGTGAGTTTATTTCTAATTCCTCAGTTCTGTTCCACTGGTTTATGTGAGGTTTCTCTTTTTTATTTTTCTGTGGGGAATGGCGATTTAGGGTGCCGTACCACTGACCCACACCCCAGCCCTTTTTTATTTTTAATTTTTAGACAGGGTCTAAGTTGCTGAGGCTGGTCTCAAATTTGTGCTCCTTCTGCCTCAGCCTCCCCCATAGCTGGGGTTACAGGTCTGAGCTCTATCAAGCTGGACGATGGACTACTGTCTTTGATCTGAGCACTGTGATCTCTCTGTAAGCCGGCTCACGAGAAGCCTCTTGCTTTGTTCTTTTTGCCCAAGATTGCTTTGGCCATTAGGAGTTTTTGTTATTGTTGTTTCACACAAATTATAATATTCTTTTCTCTATTTACCTACGTTCCGTGTGGAATGTAGATTCCCCTTACTACTTCAAGAGGAATTTACTGATCCTGGGATCGCTTCTGGTAGCTTGGATGTTTTATTACCTTTACCACTTAACTGTGTGTTATCACAAAACTATAAGCACTTGGACCACATGAATGTGTTCCTTATCACATACTCAAATCCTACAATACTTTTTTTTTTTTGCTTGATTTTACATTTTGCATCTACAGAGACCGATATTAAGAGAAATCTGAAAATTTAGTGTCAAGACTACATTTTGGCTGGGTGTGGTGGCCCAAGCCTGTAATCCCAGCAGCTCGGGTGGTTGAAGCGGGAGGATCATATGTTCAAAGCCTCAGCAATTTAGCAAGTCTCTAAGCAACTCAGTGAGACCCTGTCTCTAAATAAAATACAAAAAGGGGATGGGGGTGTGTCTCAGTGGTTAAGTGCCCCTGGGTTCAATCCTCAGTACAAAAAAAAAAAAAAAAAGCTACACTTTGGAGGCAATATGAAAAGTGATCTAGTCTTCCCTTACCCTTGTTTTGTATTCTGACAATTTACTTAAATATACTTACCTCATGCAACCCCTGTGGAAGATTTCTTTAAAAACTATTATATATGTTTTTTTTGGGGGGGAGGGGTTGTACCAGGGATTGAACTCAGAAACACTCAACCACTGAGCCACATCCCCAACTCTATTTCATATTTATTTAGAGACTGGGTCTCACTGAGTTGCTTATCATCTCGCCTTTGCTGAGGCTGGTTTTGAACTCATGATTCTCCTGCCTCACCCTCCCGAGCTGCTGGGATGCCCAGCATCATATAGTTTTTAATGGATAACTAAGTCTACATATTTTAATGAATGTAATTCATGGAAATCAATGTGTACTATAATAGAAAAAAAGGATGGAATAACAAGAATCGTGAGACCATATCATACACATTACACAGAAGAGGAAGGCAATGATTTATTAGCAAGGGAAATAAAATAAACCTTTTTCTTTACTGACCCTCTTAACTACAGTTATTCCCAAAAGGAGGAATGTGATATCCAGTTCCTGACACACAGACCAGCAATGGACAAAACATCCCTTTTCAATAGCTCATTAATGACAATTGATGACAATTAAATAGCTCATAAGTGCCAATTAAACAGTGTAAAATTGAATCTATCATATTGCAAATACAATTCACCCACCCATGTATCAAAATGCAAAGATAATAGGGAAAAAAAAACACCCCACCAAGTCCCTGTAAATTGCTTAAATTCTTACAGAAACATTTCATTTCATATGTTGTTGTTTTGGTACCAGGAGTGAACCTAGGGTTGTTTAACCACTAAGTAACATCCTCAGCCCTTTTTTATATTTTACTTAAAGACAGGGTTTCACTGAGTTACTTAGAGCCTAAGTTGCTGGAGGCTGGCTTTGAAGTTGTGATCTTGCTGCCCCAGTCTCTAGAGCTGCTGGGATTACAGGTGTGTACCACCACACCCAGCTGAAACATTTCATTTAATGTTTCAAATTACTACATATCCAAGTTAAAAATGAGACACTGAAGAACAAATATACTCAGAACTTTTGCATTTCTTTCTTGTAAATTCTTCATAGAATAAATACTTTAGTATTAATGAGGTTTTATATATAACTTACATTTACAAAACTTCTCTCCAGTATGATTTCACGCGACTTAAATTACTAGCTGACCTGGGAGGCTGAGACAGGAGGATCCCAAGTTCAAGGCCAACCTCAGCATTTAGTGAGACCCTATCTCAAAAAATAGAAGGGTCGAGGATGTTCTCTGGTAAAGCATCCCTGGATTCAATTCCCAGTGTCAAAACAAAACAAACTTGTTAAAATGCATGGGGCCAGGTGGAGGACATCTGTAATCCCAGATATTCAAGGGAATGAGGAAGGAATATTGCAAGTTCAAGGCAGACCTGGACAACTTGGTGAGATCCTATCTCAAAATTTAAAAAGTGCTTGGGATGTAGCTTAGTTGTGAAATGACTGGGTTGAAACCTTAGTACCCGCCCTCCAAAAATTAAAAAAAAAAATCCCACTTGGTAAAATGGAAAACTTTCCTTCACTTTTAAAAGGAAGTGCTACAAAGCCATGTATAATCTTACATATATATTTGAAAAGATGTAGGATACCAGGTTTGACACATTGCATATATTCGTGGAGATTCTCACGACTGTGAATCTTTCATGGTTACAATTTGAACTGATGACAAGCCTTACTGCATTTTCACATCATAAGACATCTGTCCCTTGGGCATTCCTTTCTCAGCTGAAGACTGCATGGCAGTGAAAGAATTCCCATGATCCTCTCATAGGATTTCTCCAGTAGGAGTTATCTCACGAATTGGAAAGAAACTGAGAATTTGAAGGCTTTCACATATTCCTTGTATTTATAGCACTTGCCTCCATTCTGGTTGCTCTCATATTTCAAACAACTAAAACTTTACCACACTCTTTATATTCTCAATGTTTTTCTTCAGTGAGTCGTTTCATGCCTTAGAAATGGAGAAACTTATAAGTTTACATTTGTAAGGCTCTTCTCCACTAGGTACTATCACATATCTTCCAATATTTGCAAAGGACTCAAACACTTTCCCATATTCTGTACATTCATATTTCTCATTCATATTTCTTTTATGTACTTGGAAAGTACTCAAGTAACGCTTTGCCATGATGGTTCCCTCCATAGTGTAATCCTTTTATACACATGAAAAGAAAATGAGAAAACTCTTTCCCATGTGGCTTAACATAAATAGAGTTTCTCTTTCAGTATGGGTCCTTTTCATGGATTGGAACCGAACAAGCATTTGAACCCTTTCCCAAGACCTTACATGCAAGGGTTTCTATCCAGTATGGGTCCTTTCATGGACTATAAAAGATCAAGATTTTTTTTGAAAGCCTTCCTACATGGCTTACATTCATAGGGCTTCCCTCCAATGTGAATCCTTTTATGTACAATAATAAAAATCAGTGAAGGATTTTCTGTGCTGCTTATACACAAAGGGTTGCTCTCTAATGTGAATCCTTTTGGGTAGTTGAACTAAAACAAGTGGAAGTTTCCCACACTGCTTATATTCCTAAGGCTTCTTCCCATTGTGAGTCCTTTCATGGATTTGAAAAGAACTAGAACTTCTGAAGGCTTTCCCACATTCCTTACATTGCTAAGGTTTCTCTCCAGTGTGTGTCCTCTCATGCAATCGTAAAGAACTAAAATTGCAAAAGGCTTTCCCACATTGTTTACACTCATATGGTTTATCTCCAGTGTGAATTCTTTGGTGAACTCGAAAAGACCAAGAATCCTTGAAGGCTTTCCCACATTCATTACAGTCATAGGGTTTCTTCCCAGTGTGTGTCTTTTCATGGACACGGAAAGACCAAGAACTGCTATAAGCTTTCCCACACTGCTTACATTCATAGGGTTTCTCTCCAGTGTGAGTCCTTTCATGGATTCGAAAAGAACTAGAACTTCTGAAGGCTTTCCCACATTCCTTACACTGGTAGGGTTTTTCTCCAGTGTGCATCCTTTCATGCAATTGTAAAGAATTACAATTGCGAAAGGCTTTCCCGCACTGCTTACATTCATAGGGTTTTTCTTCGCTGTGAGTCCTTTCATGGACTCGACAAGAAGAAGAAGCAACAAATCCTTTCCCACATTGCTTACATTTATATGGTTTCTCTCCAGTGTGAGTCCTTTCATGGATTCGAAAGGAACTAGACCTTCCGAAGGATTTCCCACATTCCTTACATTGATAAGGTTTCTCTCCAGTGTGAGTCCTTTTATGCAACTGAAGAGGACTAAAATCGATGAAGGCTTTCCCACATTCCTTACATTCATAGGGTTTCTCTCCAGTGTGAATCCTTTCATGCACTCGAAGATACTTCACATCCTTGAAGGCTTTTCCACAGTGCTTACATTTATATGGTTTCTCTCCAGTGTGAGTCCTTTCATGGACTCGAATAGAACGAGAACTTCTGAAGGATTTCCCACATTCCTTACACTGATAAGGCTTTTCTCCAGTATGAGTCCTTTTGTGCAACCGAAGAGAACTACAATTGCTAAAGGTTTTTCCACATTCTTTACATTCATAAGGTTTCTCTCCAGTATGAGTCTTTTCATGGACATGAAAATACCAAGAATTGTTGTAGGCTTTCCCACACTGCTTACATTCATAGGGTTTCTTTCCAGTGTGAATCCATTCATGGATTCGAAAAGAACTAGAAGTTCTGAAGCCTTTTCCACATTCCTTACACTCATAGGGTTTCTCTCCAGTGTGAATCCTTTCATGCACTCGTACATATCTCACATCTCTGAAAGCTTTCCCACATTGTTTACATTTATATGGTTTCTCTCCAGTGTGAATCCTTTCATGGACTCGAAAAGAACTACAACTTCTGAAGGATTTCCCACATTCCTTACACTGATAAGATTTTTCTCTCATGTGAATCCTTCCATGATTCAGAACTGATTTAGAAAATTTAAAAGCTTTCCCACAATATTTACATTTATAAGGTCCATCTCCAGTATGTTCTAACATGTCTATTCCAACCTTTCCATGGGAATTGAACGATTTTCCACAGCAGTGTTTACATTCATAGGGTTTCTCTCTAGTGTTAGTCCTTTCATGACTCAGAGCTGACCTATGATAGTAAAAGGCTTTCCCACAAAATTTGCATTTGTTAGGTCCATCTCCACTGTGCAATATCATGTGTCTTCTTTGACTTTTATGAGAAGCAAATGATTTCCCACATCCCTTACAATCATACAGCTTCTCTGCAATTTGAGTCCTTTCATATATTTGAAAGGAGTAGTGATCAGTAAATGTTTTCTCATATAGCTTACAATGATACTGTTTTCCCCCATATTCTTGAGTCTCATACAGTTTGTATCTGGTATCATGAACCATATATCTATTAAGGGATGAAAGACACATGAAGACTACACCAGGCACACTGCAGTCATATGGCTTAACTCCATTAAAGCTTTGGTTCACATCAGGATTTAGAATATGGCTAAAGATTTCTCCACAGTGAAGATGCTCTTTACTTTCACAGGCTCGCTCTCCATTATTATTGCTGTGAAAGAGGAGAACTACATTACTGTTGGTTTGTAATATTAACAATTCTACCTTCACTATTATAAACTGGACAGATGTTTTACTATTATTAGAGGAAGTGTAGGTTTTCTGCACTGTCCAAACTCTGTGAAAGTGAATGGACCGAATGCTTTGTAGGAGAGTTTGACCAAATTATTCAACAATATAGTGATTTTCATATAGGGAATTCCTATTATTGTTTCTGATTTGCAAAAACATTTACATCACATTTAAATACACATTTTGGTAAATTTTTTTTTAAAGAGAGAGTGAGAGAGGAGAGAGAGAGAGAGAGAGAGAGAGAGAGAGAGAATTTTTAATATTTATTTTTTAGTTCTCAGCAGACACAACATCTTTGTTGGTATGTGGTGCTGAGGATCGAACCCGGGCCGCACGCATGCCAGGCGAGTGCGCTACCGCTTGAGCCACATCCCCAGCCCCTGGTAAAATTTTTTTATCAGTAAGTTTAAAGCTGAACTTTTTTTGTTGTTGTTTGCTTATTTTTAAAATTTATTGGCATACTACACTTCTCTCATATAATATCTCCTGAGACCACAATGGTATGAAACTAGAAATCAGTAAAAGGAAGAATCTTGGAAATTTCACAAATATACAGCAACTAAATAACATACTCCTGAACAATCCATGGATCAAGGAAAAAGGTAAAAGGGAAATGAAAATATCTTGAGACAAAAATGGAAACATAATGAACATCTGAAACTCATGGAATGAAGCCAAAGCAGCTCTTCAATGGATGCATAAAATAATAAATGCCAACTTGAAAAAATAAGAAAAAGCCCATATGTAGTCAAATACTATGGATCAAAAAACTAGAAAGAAGAGAACAAGGTAAATGCAAAAGGAGCAGAAGGAAGGATACAATGAAGACCAAAATAATAAATCTAAATCAAACAAAGACCAGAAAAGATAGAGATAGAATCAGTAATGGTGAGAGTTGCTTTTATAAAAAACAAAAGCAAACAAACAAAAAAAACCAAGGTGCTCTGGGAAAATGAGAAGATTCAAGTAAATAAAATAATAAAATAATAATAAAATGAAACCAGTCCAATAGACACCTCATAATTTTTTTTAAGTTTATATGTGATTGTTAGAAACAAATACATGCCCACCAATTGGATACCCAGGAGGAAAGGAATAAATTCCTAGAAATACACAATCTATCAAGAATGAGTCAGGAAAAACTAGAAAGCCTGAACAGACCATATACAACAAGAAACACTGAATAAGTAACCAAAAATCTACCAAGAAAGAGAAACGTAAAGCCAGATGGATTCCAGGCTGAATTTAAACAAGCACTCCAAGAACTGATACTGAAGTTCTTCCCCAACATACCACTAGGTATAGTATTTCCAAAAACATTTTAGGAGATCAGCATCCTAGTGATACCAAAGCCAAAGATATGAAAGAGGAGAAAACTGCAAGTCAAGGTGAGAAACACAAAGAAAGTCAATGAGCAGTGGCCCATACCTATAATCCCTGCAACTCAGTAGACTGAGCAGGAGGCAATTTCCAGGCCAGCTTCAGCAACTTTGACAGATCCTGCCTCAAAATAATTTAAAACAAAAACAAACAAACAACAACAACAACAATAACAACAAAAAAAAACCCTGAGAATGTAGCTCAATGGTAAGGGCCCCTGGAATCAAGCTCCACTACAATAATAATAATAATAATAATTACTTAAAAATAAATTTACCCAAGGATGTGAAACATCTATTGAATGAAAGCTATAAAACACTGAGGAAAAAATTATAAATAAATAAAAAACTAACTTGTATTCATGGATCAGGAAAATGAGTATTAAAATGTCCATACCACCCAAAACAATACTTATTCAACGAGATCCTGATAAAAATCATAAATTCCACACAAAAATAGGAAATACAATACTAAAAAGTATTCAGAATCACAAAATACCCTAAACAACACACACAAAAAAATTTCTGAGATGAATAAAGTTGAAGTACCACCTTCCTATCACAAAAGCATTTTACCAAGTTATAATAATTAAGATGGTATTATACTTGTTTAAAAAAAGACACACAGTTGAGGCTGGAGTTGTAGCTCAGTGGTAGAGCTCTTGCCTAGAATATGTGAGGCACTGAGTTTGATTCTCAGCACCATGTATAAATAAACTAATAAAATAAAGGTCCATCAACAACTAAAACAAGACACACAGCAGTCTAGTGGAATACAACACAGGGTCCAGAAATAGATCAGAACATATACTATCAACTAAGTTTGACCATAGCACCAAGAAGACACAAAGACAGCCTCCTCAAAGAGTACAGGAAAAGTGCCTTTCCACAAGCTAAAGAATGAAACTGAACCCCTATCTTACACAGTACACAAAATGAATTGAAAAATGGTCAAAACAATGAAAACTTATTATAAAGCAACCAGAAGAGAGAACTTGGGAGAAAGTGCCTGGACACTGACTTGCATTGATTTTGTAGATACTACACCAAAAGCTCAGGTCACAAAAGCAAAACATAAATAAAAGGAGTTACATTAAATTAAAAATCTTCTGCTTCTGTCAAGCAACTACATGAAAACAGCATCTACTAATTTAAGAAAAAAAAACATTTAAAGCCATAATTAAGAAGTTATGACTCTGTCCATTTTCTCTTACTGTCATACAGAAGTTGGGTTAGAAAAAGCGGCTTGGAACTCCAGATGCCATTGTGCCACTAATCTGATGAGGGTCTATTGGCTGAATCATCACATATCATATGTCGTCACATGGTGGGAGAGCAATATGTGAGAGAAAGTGTGGAGAGAGGCATGAAAGAGAAGTGATGGGCATATGCAAAGGGCAAGACATGCAGGGTGCGATGGTGCACACCTATGATCCCAGAGCCTTGGGAGGCTGAGGTAGGAGAATCACAAGTTCCAGGCCAGTATGAAAAGGTGCTCCATGTCACAAATCATCAAGGAAATGGAAAGCAAACCCACTGTGAGATACCACCTCACACCTATTAGAATGGCTATTATAAGCTGAAAAGATAACCAACATTGGGAAAGATATGGAGTAAAGGAAACCTTATACATTGTTGTCAATGTACACTGGTGCAGCCATTATGGAACACAATAGAAAGTTTTGTTAAGAAAAAACTAAAACTGTCACATAACTCAGCAATGCCGTTTTAAGGCATATACCCAAAGGAAATTAAATCAGCACCTTATAAAGACGTCTGCACCTCCACATGCATTGCAGCATCATTCACAACAGCCACGCTATGAAAACAAGCGTGAGGATCTCCTTAAGGAGATCCTTCCCTTGGCCACTGCAGGGATGAAATGATAGCACAGTATGCTAAGTGAAGTAAGCCAGACACTGAAGGACAAGTTTGCATGACCTCACTTACATGGGAAATAGGTCAAGTACACCAAGATAGAGAATAGAAGAGTAGTTACCAGGGCCAGGAGCTGAGGGGAGACCAGGGGAAGATGAAGAGCAGAGCAGAGGACCAAAAAAAAAAAAAAAAAAAAAAAACCAGATTGTGAGGCTGAATGAGGCCACAGATAGAATGCAGAATATGAGAAACCAGGTGCGGTGGCACACACCTGTGATCCCAATGGCTTGAGAGGCTGAGGCAGAAGAATTACAAGTTCAAAGCCAACATTAGCAACTTAGCAACACCCTATCTCTCATTAAAATATAAAAAGGACTGGGAATGTAGCTCAGTGGGAGCACACCCCTGGATCAATCCCCAGTATTAAAAAAATAATAATTAATTAATTTTTAAAAAACAGGGTTGTATACTTGAATTTGTGTATACCTTAAATACACAACTTAATTTTTTAAGAGTAAGATTCATGAATATGTTTTTTTAGTATTTTTTTTTTTTTTTAGTTATCGGCGGACACAACATCTTTGTATGTGGTGCTGAGGATCAAACCCGGGCCGCACGCATGCCAGGCGAGCACGCCACCGCTTGAGCCACATCCCTGGCCCCATGAATATGGTTTTAAAATATGATTTTCTATTTTTTAAATACTGAACATGTATATCATGTTGAAGTACACATTTTTTGTTAAAAAATTCTCAGTATGGGCTGGGGTTATGGCTCAGTAGAACACTTGCCTAGCAAGTGGTCGATCCTTAGCATCACATGAAAATAAATAAATAAAATTAAGTTTAAAAAATATTCTCAGTAAATAAATTTGATCTTTTTAATATTGTTTTCTTATTTTTAAAATTTCATGTTATCTAGATAGTGACAGATGCATGTACCCTTTGCCTACTGGTGAGGCTAAAGTAATTCAAAGCCAGCCTCAGCAATTAGCAAGAACACTATCTCAGGAAGAAATCATGAACCAGAATTCTCTTGTGGGACATTGCTTTCACTTGGGAGTAAAATTACCTTAACTTTCCCCCAAAATTTCTGTAGCAATCTTCACAGTTCTTGTCTTGTAACAATTTTCCTAAAATGCAGAGACAGACAATCACCAGGAGTTATTAGGATTACAGAAATGCGACTGACTAGCTTCCAGGTTCGGAATGGTTAGAACATGTCTGAATTGATACACCACAGTATTCCTCTTCCTTGTTCCCAATTGTGGAACAAAGTTCATGGGTAAGAAACACTTTTTCTTGGCAACAGTGTAATTCAGTGGCACAGCCCTTGAATAGCATGGGTGAGGGCCTTGGGAAGAAGGAAGGGAATGCAGGGAGGGAAGAAAGAAAAAAGGAAGAAGATAGGAAGAAAAGAGAGAAAGTAAGTAAATGAAAATGAAGAAAGAAAGAAGGAGGAAGTGAGGGAGGGATAAATAAAGACATTTTCCGTCTAAGCCAAAGATGTCTGGTCATTACCTAGAGAGGACAAGTTGCTAAAGGTTTCCGACATCACATCTCTGTAGAGTTTCTTCTGGGAAGGATCCAGCAGAGCCCACTCCTCCTGGGTGAAGTCTATAACCACATCCTGTAAGACCACTGAGTCCTGAAACATCCTAGACAAGTTTGTAATAGGAGGGAATGATATAGATGCACAAGACACACACGCTCTGTAGTCTGCAAACATTTATCCTGTAATCCATGAAAGTAAAACAGTGTACTCTGGGTCTTGTTTACATTGAGAAGCAGGTTAAGAGTTGCAATTTCAGGGCTGGGGATATGGCTCAAGCGGTAGTGCGCTCGCCTGGCATGCGTGCAGCCCGGGTTTGATCCTCAGTACCACATACAAACAAAGATGTTGTGTCCGCTGAAAACTAAAAATAAATGTTTAAAAAATTCTCTCTCTCTCTTAAAAAAAAAAAAAGAGTTGCAATTTCTGCCCATTTACAATGAAACAAAAGTGGCGGTTTCTGGCTGGGTGTGCTGAGGGCATGCCTGTGTCTCAGCTACTCAGGAGGTGGAGCAGGTGGATCACACAGAGAATTTTAATCTGTGCTCACACTCACTTCCTCATAAATTACCAGAACCAAGAACACAGGGAAAGGATCTGTTCAGTTTTACTGTTGTCACTACAAGTGTCATTGCTCTCTAATGGGAGGGTCCACTTTACCTTGGAGAAATTAGAGAAATGCTACACAAATTATGACTGTCAATTCCTTTTGTGAAAAACCTCCATCCTGGGCTGGGGATGTGGCTCAAGCGGTAGCGCGCTCGCCTGGCATGTGTGCGGCCCGGGTTCGATCCTCACCACCACATACCAACAAAGATGTTGTGTCCGCCGAAAACTAAAAAATAAATATTAAAAAATTCTCTCTCTCTCTCTCTCTCTCTCTCTCTCTCTCTCCCTCCCTCCCTCCCTCCTCTCTCTCTCTCTTTAAAAAAAAAAAAAAAAAAAAAAAAAAAAAAAAAAAACCTCTATCCTGTTCCTGATTAACCCACCATGTGTCTCAGCAAAAGAATTCATTTTAACTTATTGGTGTAATATTAAAGGCATTTATCCTTTTTTCCTCTGTCCCTTTTTATAGCAGTGTGCAATTACTGGGAAGAGATCAAGTAAGAGGGAAAAAGCAGAGTAACACAGTCTTTCTCAAAAATCTCCACACTCAGGAGCCTCAGGGCAACTTCCAACACAATTTTGGCACACGTGTGCACATGCACACACATGTGCTGGGAAAACACCACACTCCAAGAACTCTTTCTAGAAGACCCAACAGTGTACCTTGGGCTTCTCTTACATTGAGAATCAGGTTAAGAGATGCAGTTTCCAGCCAGGTACAATGGCACGTGCCCAGAATCCCAGCAACTTGGGAAGCTGAAGCAGGTGGATGGCAAAGCCTCAGCAACCTAGTGAGAGCCTCTCAAAATTAAAAAATACATTGAGCTGGGGGTTGTAGCCCAGTGGTAAAGAACTTGCCTAGCATATGTGAAACACTGGATTTGATTCTCACCACCACGTAAAAATAAATAAAATAAAGGTCTATCAATGACTAAAAAAAAATTAAATATATATATATATATATATAGTAAAATATATAAAGGGCTGGATATGTAGCTCAGTGGTGGAGCACCCCTGGGTTCAATCCCCAGTACTGCAAAATAAATAAATGACTGCAGATACAGCTCAATGCAGAGTGCCCTGGGCTGTATTTCCAGAAACACAAAAAAAGTTGCAATTTCTGAGGATTTCACTGATACCCATAGTAGTTTAATGGTGAATGTGCCATGATTGTAAAATACCTAAAAGGTTCACCAACACTTTTCTCCAAACAATATAAAGTGTTGTTCCTCAAAGTTCAAGAGGAAATGATTCCTGACCAGCCAACAAGTGACATTACACTTGGTCATATGAAAACAAAGTGAAACAAGGCAAAACATAGTCTCAGAAGATGTTCTAGAGAGAACTCAATGTCCCCAAGATCTTACAGAAAAAGACATAATGGAAGAGACTGACAGATTGATATATATTAACATAAAGAGAGTTACAACAAACATAGAATAAAATAATTGCAAAATGAGGTCAATAAAAGAATTAATGCCACAGTAAAATGAATGAACATAGAATTTTTCTGTGGGGTGGTGGTGGGTACTGGGGATTGTACTCAGGGGTGTTTAACCACTGAACCACATCCCCAGCACTTTTTTATATTTTATTTAGATACAGGGTTTTGCTGAGTTGCTAAATATCTTGCTAAATTGCTGAGTCTGGCTTTGAACTTGTGATTCTCCTGCCTCAGACTCTAGAATCTGAGGGATTACAGGCACATGCCACCACACTCAGCTGAACACAGATTTAAAGAGTGAAAAGTATTACCACATACATTTAACAGAAGATAAAAATGTATACGTGCAAAATGCTATAACTCTTAGGCAAAGAAGATGTGCCATATCAGATGTGTTCACAGGATTTAAGGACAAAAGTTAATCAGTTAGATAATCCCATATGTTGGTATCCATCATGAACAAGTAAGCAGAGCAATGGAGTGGAGATCAATGACTAAACCCCACTGCTCCTTCTTGAAATTGTGATCTTGACCTTGAACCCCAACCCAGTAAAGTTTCTCCAATGTCCTGAGTGTTTATTCTGAATTGAATTTACAAATTTACACAAACGTGAAAGAACAGGCATTTTTCACAAGACCAAAAATATATTTTAAAAACTAAAATACCATAACCACTGGAAAGAATGAAGAAATTAGATGATCAGAAACCAAAAACACTAGGATGTTGAACCACACTGAGGCAAAGAAACAAGTGAAGGCAAATATTTGCACTATAACCCACAGTCCCACAAGTCATCAGACATAACCACAACAGGGTACCAGAGCTATTCACATAAATGCCCAGTCAACCACAAATTCACGGGTTCTTTTAATGTTCTTTGATAAATAATTTACTAGAATGACTCTTGAAATTTGGGAGAGGGCTTTACTTAGTATTATAGTCTATTACAGAGGACCACTTACTTCAACCACATTTATAAAAAGATAAAAGGAGGCAAAATTAAAAACAAAACAAAATAAAAACAGCACTTAGTGGTAAAGAAAACACAGTAATAGTATAAGGGATAACCGAAAAGTCAGGAATATGTTCATCTATGGGGAATCTAGAGAAGAGTCAAGGAGGGGAACAGGAGGAGTCATGAAACTTTTTCTTATTTTTTTCCCCTCTTTTCCCTCCTCTTCTTTTTTGGACAATGGGGACTGAAATCAGCAGTACTATGCCACTGAGCTACCGTCCCACATTCCCCAGCCTCCTCTCCCCTTTTTAATCTTGAGATAGGGTCTTTCTAAGCTGCTAAGACTGACCTTAAACATGTGATCTTCCTACCTCAGCCTCTTGGGTCATTGTAATGAGTCACTGGCATTTTACAGGTGTACACTGCCACATCTGGCTCCAGTTATGGATCTTGATGATTCCAACAGTGTTCACTATCTGGAGTATGTGTCAGGTTAAGGGCTCAGTCCCACAAGTCATCAGACGTAACCACAACAGGTACCAGAGCTATTCACATTAATGCCCAGTCAACCACAAATTCATGGGTTCCTTTAATGTTCTTTGGTAAATAATTCACTAGAATGACTCTTGGAATTTGGGAGAGGGCTTTACTTAGTATTATCGGTCTATTACAGAGGACCACTTACTTCAACCAAATGGAACACATACACGGGCAGAGTAAATGTGGGAGGACACAGAGCTTCTGTGTCCTTCTGGACTAGCAGCCCTGCAACCTGGATCTTCTGCTAAAGGAGCAAATCCTCAGAACTGAAAAGATGAGGAACAAACCAGTACTGAGGATACCTCCATGAAGTTCAAGAGAAACTCATGTCACTGGGAAGGGTCAGGAAATTAGCCCACAGAAGAAACTAAGGATACAACATCTTTATTTTATTTTAATTACTGCTCCCTTATCTTCCAAGAAATTGAGAGAACCATGACATTTTCATCATATTACTTACATCCACAAGGAAAGGACAGGTGGGTATAAACAGTATGTAGAACTAAGGTCATACGACCATCTCTCAGACAAGGGACACTTGGAATCTGAACTTGATTCCTATTTCTGAAAAATCATATACCTAAGTGTTAGAGTCTGTAAACAAGTCAAGATGGCGCCTGGCAAAATGCCAGAGGGAGTGGTTTGTAAAGTAATGCCAGCGAGCCATTAAGTGTGGAGATTCCTTATTGGTTGGCTGCTGTATCTATTTTATGTTAATTAAGATAAGCTGTGTGGAATGTATAAATACCTCTGTTGTCCTACAATAAATGGCTTCCACTCTTGCTGTATCAATCTACACAAGTTGTTCATCAACCCCCGGCTATTTTGCTGCAGCTGGATTGTGGCAGATGGTGGCCCGTTACGGGGAGCCGCGGGACACTCGGGGGTAAGTGACGAAAAAAAAAAGCTGCCGGTCCATAGATAGGACAGGAGCAAATCTGCTCATCCCTAGATAGGGCGAGAGGAAAAATGGCCATTTTGAGATGAAAATATGTAAGGGGTGTTAGGTAAATTGATAAGGGAAAGAGGCACCCCAGTGGCACCAAGAATAGTTAGGGCATGTGTTGATGGAAGCCCAGGAACTCTAGTCAGAAAGAAAAAGAAAGTTCAGAAGAAGAAGGATTATCCGGAAAAAAGTTGCAGCAAAAGGCTATTAAAATGGAGAAGATTGAGGGGCTGGGGATGTGGCTCAAGCGGTAGCGTGCTCGCCTGGCATGCGTGTGGCCCGGGGTTCAATCCTCAGCACCACATACCAACAAAGATGTTGTGTCCGCAGAAAACTAAGAAATAAATAAATATTAAAAATAAATAAATAAATAAAATGGAGAGGATTGATACAGTATGTTTGTGTCTTGTCTTGTCTTGAAATGTATTGTCTTTGTGACACAAGTTGCTCGTCACCCCCGCGTTATTTTGCCCAGCCAGCCCGGCTGCGGCACATAAGGGTTTTTTTATTTTTTTATTTTTTAGTTTTAGGTGAATACAATATCTTTATTTTATTTTTATGTGGTGCTGAGGTTCAAACCCAGTGCCTTACAGGTGCTAAGCAAGCTGTTGAGCCACAACACCAGTCCCAACATAAGGGTTTTTTTTCTTTTTTTTTTTTAAAGAGAGAGAGAGAGAGAATTTTTTAATATTTATTTTTTAGTTTTCAGTGGACACAACATCTTTATTTTATTTTTATGTGATGCTGAGGATTGAAACCAGCACCCTGCGCATGCCAGGCAAGCATACTATTGCTTGATCCACATCCCGAGCCCCAAATAAGGTTTTAATTTACAAATATACAAATGGCAAAAGAGAGACACTTGTATACTCAGGACTGTAACACTAGCTCTAACACAGGAACCATTCTATCCAAAATTTATGGATTCAACTCACAAAAAAATCCCATGACATTTGTGCTCCCCAGTTCTTTTTATTAAGCATTAAAATAATGAATCTAAGTTAAAACCATTTTAAGGGCCCAAATCAAGATTCCATAAGTATGCATTATAATTCATTTTTTCAACTCCCATTGACATGCCATGGTCTGTAAGGGGGAAAGCTACACAACCAAATATTCATTTCAGTGTGAAAATTTCAATGAGAAGCTTTACTAGAAGGCTGAAGAGTAGGAAGGAGGTGCCCATGGCATTTTGAAAAAAAAACATGTAACTGTCTTCTAAAAAAGATGGAACTGGGGATTCTCTGAAGAAAAGCAGAAACCAACCCAGTGCAAAAGGCACCTATTTACCTGGTAAATCAACTCTTTCTCCACCTTGCGGTGCGCACCAAGTACCACTCC